TGCTGGTCTCTAGATCTACTAGCTTTTACATTTTTATTTATTTTTAATTTGCAGAGGGTATGTGCTTACCAGAGAGAGATTGAGAGAGAGAGAAAGAGAGAGAAAGAAATCCCCAATGGGATATGGTCATGCCACAATCTCTTCTCCATTTCTCCAACCTCTTCAGATTTGGGGCAAGCAAGCACATGCACCCAGTGTGTTTTTCAAGTCACTGTGGCCGGAATTTGAACCATGGTCAGCTTTTTTGGACCCAGCTTCCTTAACCACTAGGCAATGGAATGAGTTTGCTTTTTTTTCTTTTAAGAATGTATTAGATTGTCAGTGATAGTTTTTACTCTGTAGTGGTAACCATTCTATAACCTGTTCCACTTGTAGAGATCAGTTTGATACATAAAGCAACGTATGACAGTGTACAAAATAATACTTACGTGTGCCAAAAAAGTAAAACAAACAAGACAGTGTGAACAAGATGAAAATGGTGATTAAATAACGCAGAAAATATGGATTGAGTAAACAGAGAAAAATCAGAATCCTGGGAAAATTTATGAAAAACAAAAAAACAGAGCATTAATGTCAAAAGAAAAGAAGGAAGGAAATGCATGCTGCAGAAAGACAAGACCACGGATGGCCTGGCACAGTAGGAGAAGCACATCTATGAGAAATGGAATTAAGCAAGTGGAAATGGACTCAGAAAAGAAAAAAACTATTGGAACAGAACAGCTGGTGACTGAAAATCCAGTGAAAGCCAGTTCAGAACCAGGATTAGAGAGCAAAACAATTTCTTAAGATAGTGTGTTATTAACAATAAACTGCCTTGAAAGTGGAAATTAAATGATTAAGAAAACTTAGATGGTCAATTTCTTTTAAGTTTTATTTTTGTTTTAGACATTATCTAAGGTTTCAATGATGTACCTGGATGAGAAACTGGGCAAAGCATTATCATCTACAAACACAATTGCACTTTGATGTTTGACTCTCTCGAAGTCAGAGTTTCACCAATTTCTAAGTTTTGGTTTGATAATTTGGACGTAATCAGAGTATTGTGAGTTAGTTTAGTCTAAGCTTGCATGTTGTTATTTAACATAGTTGCCAATGATTTTAAAAGTCCTTGACTGCCAAGATGAGATCCTAGAACATGTTCCCTGATGTGGCCTTCCCCGAATTTCTTCTTCTTCACAGTTATAAATCTGGGATGAGGCCGAGCATGTCAGATTTTTGCTTTTGTTTACTCTTTCTATAATATTTAATCACTAGACTTCACTAGATGAACTTACTGCAGACAAGATGCAGAGATGGATGGCTGCTTCGAAGGACAGTGCTTTGAAGCTGTTTTTTTGTTTTTGATTTTGTTTTGTTTTATAATGTGATGTCAGAAAACTAGTGCTTTTTGGTAAGAGCCAGATGGTAAGAGCCATTGTTATCACCCTAACAACACAGCCTATAGAGCTTGGCAGATGACAGAATTTTCAGCCACAACTAAATCTGAGTATCTTTTGGAAATCATCAACTAACTCCCTCACTACCTGGAGATCAAAGTTCTTAACATAGTAAACAAGAGCTTTTCCAGTATCCTTACAACTCTCTTCCCCGTGCTCATAATCAGCCAATCCCATCTAAGGAACCTGTAATCAGACCACACCAGATCAACACAACATGCATGTCTCCATTCTGAGTCTTTGCAAGAGCTCTTCATTCTTAGAAGTTTTATTTTGCGGGGCCGGCAGGTGGTGTGGTGGTTAAGGACGCTGGACTCCCACATAGCAGACAACAGTTTGAGTCCCGGACCTGGCAGCTTTCTCTCTCTCTCTCTGTTTCTTCCTAGTCAAATTGAAATAAATAAATAAAGTTAAATAAAATAATTCTTTGAAAAAAAGTAGAGAAAAAATATTTAAAAAAAGAAGTTTTATTTTGCAACACCCTACTCTACAGAGAAACTCATACTCATCTTTTAAGGTGCGCACTGAATACTTAGATGCTGAAAAAAATAAATGATCATTCTAGAATTACTGGAGAGGAGGTGTTATACATTGGTTTACAAAGGATGAGACACACTCAGAGAGGACAAGACACTTAAGATGGATAAATAACAAAGCAATGAGAGAAGAACCAACAAGTCCGGTGAAGAAGGAGAGAATGTAGCAGAGAGGAAACAATGCTCCACTAAAGAGACATTCCAGTTTACTAGCCAGACTTCTTCATAAACAGGCAAATTGAAAAACAAAACAAAACAAACAAAAAACTAAACTCACTGTAGAATGACAGAACCGAAATATGAATCTCCCCTGGTACCTGGAATGTTGGTCACTAAAGTTGTGAGGAACTTTAGTTCTACAGTTCACGGACTTTCAGTGAAAAAATTTTGCCCCCATTCATTCCCTGGAAAGTCAATGGCAACTTTTCAGAATGCAAATAACTGAATCATCAAGTAGATTTGAACTTCTGGATTTAAATCTAAAACCTCCAGCTCACCCCTTAGAAACACATAGTGACATAATGGTTGTGTGATACCTAGACACTCTTTTTCTCTCTGTGGCCTATTGTACAAAAATCCTAGTCCTTCTCTTTTGAGGATTCAGTTTCATTCAAGGCCAATCTTGTAGACTGAAAGTCTTTTGAAAACTTGACTGAGACAGGACGAGCAGTTAGTGTAATGGCTATGTCACTGGACTCCCACGTAGTCAACCATGATTCGCGTCCTGGACCTGGTGGCTTAAAACTCATGCCAGGCGTGTGTGCATGCACGCCCAAGATCCTGAGAGGAGAATGGAGGAGAAGGGATTGTGGCATGGCATCCCCCATGGGGGGTGATTTCTCGCTTTCTGTCTCTCTGTTTCTGTCTGGTGAGTGCATGCACCCTATAGCAAAAACCTCTCCAAAAAAAAAAAAAAAAAAAAACTTGACAGAGAGGTCAACATTTGTGTGGGGTACGAGTTATCATATCCCGCTTCTGAGGCTAAAATAAATTGTGTTTACAGGATTAGAAAACCCCCAGAGCAGGGCCGGCTAGTAGCCCAGCAATAATGCAACACTCTGTGAAGAGGCTGAACCAGTGGGAAGGTTTGGTTCACATGGATGACATCCCTGAACACACTGGGTATGTGCGTGCTCATGAGCAGGTCTGGCTGAAGTTGGAGATTGATCATGGCATGAAAGATCCCATTAGGATCCCATTAGGAGTGATCTCTCTCTCTCTCATCCACACACATTTATGAAAACAAATAAGCAAACAAGAAAAAAAAAGTCCTTTAAAAACAAATACCTTGAGTAAATTATGAAAGCAATTTCCAGAAGGAAGAAGTAGTCTGGGAAAACCTATTTCTTCTTTGGAAGTTTTCCTACCCCTAGAACAGCCACAGAAGAAAAGCTCCATAGAGCTTAACTTGATGGTGTCTTGGATAAAATGAACAAAAGACAGATAATTTTTAAAAGGCAAAATTTCCACTCCATTTCTTTCCAGACAGGCTTTTACTAAAAACATTGATCATAAAGGCACCAGACTTAGTTTTCTAAACTTCAGAATTTAAAATAAACAACCATCCGTCTCCTCTCTGTCTCCCTTTTACTCTTCCTACTGAGGAAAGTTAAATAGCACATTCTTTCCCACTAAACCAGAAGCAACATAACACAGAAATTCCACTCACAGTTTTAAAATGAATTACTGGATACAAAAATAACAATAACAGTCACTTAGCTCAGCCAACCAATCAAATGTTTTGCATGATTAAAGTGTATTCACAGCCAAACCCCAGATTTAAAAGAAATAATATTTAGATGCTATCAGAATTTCCATTTTATAAAGTAAATCCAGTCCTTTGACAGTTATCTTCAGTAACTGATGCTTTTTCTCAACAGCTGTTACTCCACATCTGTGCAGGGTTGGGTTTTTGTCATTTCATGCCTAAATTTGTGCCTTTCATTGCACTCTGGAGTCTTGTCTCCAGTCTCTCTTTACTCCCATTGCTATTAGCAGGTTAATCGACACTGATCTACCTGTTTTAAACACATCAAGTCTGGAAGTCAAGATCCTTCATTCTATGGAACCTGCAGATGGCGTAGTGGTTACGTCACAGGACTCCCACATCGTCAACCGCAGTTCAAGTCCCAGACCTGTGGTTTAAAATTCATGCCAAGAGCTTGTGTATATGTGCCCAAAAAATCCTAAGAGGAAAATGGAGGAGAAGGGATTGCAGGGTGGCCATCCCCCCTGGGTGTGATTTTTCTCTTTCTGTCTCTTTCTGTCTCTCTGGTGAGCACACATGCCCTATAGCAAAAATCTCTCTCAAAAGAAAATCCTTCATTCTCTACTCTCATACTCTGAACATCTTCCTTCCTTCCCTTCAGTCTACACACTTCTCTGTCCCCACAGCAGCGCCCTTTTACCTATTCAGGACACACCTTACACACTCTTGCTCATGTCTTACCCTGGGCCACCAATTCTAAGATTCAGTTATGCTCTGCCTCCATCCAGAATCTTTCCTTAAGAGATAGTGGTTCTGACTACTTTCTTTCTTCTCTTGCCATCATTATTTTCATTCTCTCTTATATTTTACTCAATGTCAATACTCTTTTCTCTGTTCCTGTCTCTTTTATGTTTACACACTTGTCCCTCTTCTTAGTTTTTAAGAGTCGTAATGATTTCAAAGTAGTTTTTTCCTAAATATACAACGTATATTCTAAATATAGATTGGTTGATTCTGGTTCAATGGAGATCTACAAAACCTTTATATGCCATTTTCTCAAGCTTCACTGAGCAACAGTAAAAACCACTATAGATTTAATTTTTTCATCTTCATTTTCCTATCATTCCCTAAATTAAAAAAAAAATCAGTTGAAAAGAGCACAACATACAAGGGTGATACTGAGGAGAAGAACTCCCCACTTGCAATGTCCTAAGGTAAATTAATTCATGCATGCTGAAGTATAACAACATATCTTAGTCATCAGGCCATCTCCCACGTTCCAACCCTTTGGAGTAGAGACTTCCACCTCCAGGCCTCTGAGGTGGGTCTATGATTACATATTCTTGCTCTGTTCTCTCTCTGCCATGTTCCTCATTCTTGTTGCCATTCTGTGCTCCCACATCATTGCACCCTGATCTGGGGACTTCTGTGCATGGTGCTTTTTGCTCAGGGGCTGTACCTTCAGCATTCCTTGACACTTCTTACACACAGGGCAGGCATGAGGACTGTGGGGGGGGGGACCGTCATCACTGTGGGATTGAAAGGAAATCAAACACAATGCCAACTGACATGGAGTTAAGTATCTCTACACAAGCAACAATGATCATTTTGATCAGGAAAATCTACTGATCTAGATTCAGTAGATTTTCCAGCCCCTCCCTAGATAACTTAGGTGATGTCAAATAATTGCATCAGTATCAACTTGACTTTGGCCACGTTAAATACAAGAGATTTCGGTCTAGTCGCACACACACGTCCATATCATGTGAGTTTATCCATTCATTTGTAACTACACAATTTCATCCATGCGTCAGTACCACCTTGAAGTCATCACGACTACCCAGCCTTCCTACTAGTTTGTTAATTCTTTTGGAGAATTGAAGGAAGGGACAGCATCTTTTTTTGAGAAAATTGTCTCTCTTATGTTCTTCCTAGTTCTACAAAAGCCCACAGTAATAGATCTCGGTACAATCTGCTATTTAACCATACCTTTTCCATTCCAAGTTTGCTTTGCTCTGCCATTTCTTTCCATCTCCTAGTCTCTGAATCCACCTTTCTCCAGGAAAACTGCCAAGTCAAATAAAAGATACACAACTAGTTATTCTCACACAATCTCATCTTTTCTTAATATACACTGGCCTTGAATTGAGACATCATGGAGCAGTGACTGAGGAGTGTACCTGGAGTACAAAGGCCAGGCTAACCTGGAGCCCTGCAGGAAGAGCTCAAGATGAGCCACTCCTGGGACGTTGCGGGCCTTTCCGGGCTCTGCGCGTCTCCCCCGGGGCTCTGCTAAGCCGGCGGCAGCAGCTGCTGCCCCCCCCCCCCCCCTCCTCCCCGCCGCCTCGTTGCGCGGACACG